GGGAATAGGCCATGTTTGAAAGTGTCGCATGGTTTTAACTTTACTCTTCCATGTGTGCATGAGGCCGATGAGCTCTCCTTGTAATTGAACCATGCTTGGAAAGAGTAAGCTTAATACAAAGAGAAACAATGTTTTAGGACGCGGAGATGCTCGAGGATGGTATGGACGACTCACCAGAAATATTACGGCGAGAGTTTCAGCTGTACATGGAAGAGCGTTTCTTGGCAGGGCACGATTCCAGGTAATTCGTTTCGATATTTTTTTCGCAGTCGAAAGTATGATGGCATGGAATGCGGCTTCACATTTTTGCGTCCAATGCTGCACTCATATTTGGCACCACTCCGCTTGCTGGGAAACCGCGCAAAGTTATATCACAGTGATGCAGTCGCCATGACCCAGCTGACAAGGCTTACGGAGGTCAGATTTCGCGACTGAGATAGTGATCGCAGTCATTAATGGGGCGAGGCACCGTAAAGCAACCCTTGTGGATTGTTAAGGCCCTATTTATAGATCGTGTCTCATGCGATCGCGTGATCACGCTGAAAGGGGAACACATGTGTTAATCTTGCAGCGGCGACTGTGCGATTATACTATCAAGCGCTTCGCGGACAAGCTGGATGGACTAGCTATGGTTGAAGTGACATCGCTCATTAAGCGTTCATCTGTGGTATGTCGGCTATCTTTCTGATCGATACTCCTAATTCCTTCGCCTCGACGCGATTCGGTGCTGTCGCGAACTGTGGCATCTGCGCTAGCCCACAGTATGAAAGCATAGTAATCAATGCGATCGCTTTGATCATCAAGCAGGCGCAGGCGATCGATTGAAGTGACTTCTCTTTCTGACGATTACGCCATGTTGCATGGTCACGCGTCTGTGGCTGCGCCTTTGCGGAATGGTGTTGCGGCTGTTTGCGCACTATCACCACAGTTCACAGTTGTGCAAAGTATAAAAGCGGCTCAAATCGTGTGTTGTGTGATGAACGTAACATACACACTTGTTCCCGCAGCGAAAACATGCATATTGTCAAGCAGCTTGCATGCTTATCAAACGCAGAACAGTATGTGGCCTCCGATAGAATAATTGCCTCGAACTGGCAGAAAAGGAGAAGGCCACAGAAATAAAATGATTTCGCCACAATTTTTTTCGTTCTGGTTCAAAGTGGAAGGATTAAATGAAAGGGTTTTCGTGGCTCAGTCTGCATATGAAACCTGGCTTGACTTTTATTCCCCTAATTTAATTCGCATAGTTGTCGTCCATTCCAGATTTTTCGACTACGATGCGGTTGACAATGATGTGTCCCTGGATGAGGTAGACGAAATTCATGAGCGCGACATGGAAGAGAAGTGGTTTGACGCTGATGACGAATAATTGATTGAATATGTTGTCCTTCCTTCCTCTTTGTTGGTCTCATTCCAAAGTTTTTGATGCGATGTGTTTGCACTCATTGTTTTGATTGCATAAATGTGTAGAGTAACGTGACTGTGTTATGATTCAGTGTCTAGCGAGTAATCGCTTGAATATCCTTACCCCTAATTTTCGTTTTTTTCTTTAATGCTTAGTATTTTGTCATAGGGCCAGGCGATTGTGTCACAACGGTTATCATTAGTATGATGACGAAGCCAATCGAAGTCCGGTGGTACTACCATGGCCCGGACAACGAGATTTATGGTGAGTTTCCTTTTGCTCTTCCAAGTTTCCCTTCAACTGTTTCGATTATTTCGGGGATAATCTCGAGTCAAAAAAGGTGGAATAATATCGAGATACCATCGGGTTTTGACCTCGCCTTTCATAGTGAATGAAATACTTAACTAAATAATTATTCACATATTACCTCGTTTTTGGTCGGCCTATACGCGTTGGCGGCAGTGATCTTGTATTATTACTGCTGCCATTACGCATACGCGCTTATAGAGCTTGCTGGCCGTAGGTCATGGGCAAAGTTAAATAGGCGAGTCAAGGTGGTCCGTATATATCAAACTTTTGTGTTCATATTTATGACCGTGCATACAGCTATTTCTTTCCCATAATTTTTTGATAGTCTTTTCAAAAATAATGTCGGTTCGACACACTTACCACGGGGTTAGCCTTGCCGATTGCATGCAAACGTCCGGCGATCGTAAAATAGTACCACACTAGGTTCACAGCCGGTTCTGGCGAAGTTTGACTGAGATACGATTCAATTGCTCCCCGGTATGTGAAACTTCCCAATCTCAAAACGCTGGAAACGCTCGTTGTTTTGAAGCTTGGATTTCTTTGCAGAAATTGTGGACAAGCTGTGAGGAGGTTGAGCGACTGTTTTAAAAGCCGCTGACCATACTGCTAGCAACCGAAAACTACTGATTGCCTGCATTGAAATTATTAGCAACATACAGTTGACAGCGGGAGAACTAATAGTGGATGACGCTATTATTGCAACAACCTGATATATTCTCAAAACTGGTTGGGTTGCTCATTTTCGCGTTTGTTTTATCACAGCGTCTTTTTTTGTACCCGCGTCGCATAAGAAAACTTTCGATACGTTGTTGGGAGGATTTTTTTTGTTTTTATTTCTTTCCAGTGGACTTGCTCTTTATTGTGGAACATTTTTCATTGTAGGGCCATATGCAGCTAAAGAGATGATGATGTGGACTCAGTCGGGATATTTCAACGACTCTCTACTAATTCGTACTGAACATGAAGAACGATTTCACACTCTCGGCGAATGGACTCGAGTTTGTGGTGGCAAGGTGATTCTCAATTAATGTTAAAAGCCCAGCTTTTGATTTAAAAACGTTGGAGTTGCTTAATTGCGCTTGTGTACACCGCATTGCGTTAGGCGTCATGTGCAATACGCAATACGCAATACACTATGTTACCCTGCGAATGAGCATCGTTTTGTATCTGCTGGACTATGCCAGCCCAAGGGTGTCAAAATAATGATAGAAGCACGTAAAGAGAGCTGCTGTCCATTGCAATATCAGTTCGCTTTTTTTCCA